TACTTGGTTGCTGCTTGATGTAGGTTGCTAAGCCTTTAAAAATTTTGCATGTGGAGTACATGAAACAAAATAATTTTTTTTAGGGTTTGTATATACATCTGAATAACTAAAAAAATCATAAATTACTACATCAATACCATAGAATTCCACTATTATTTAACAAGTTTAATAACTAAGATGTATTTTAGTCTAAAAAAATATGAAATTTTGAGTGGACTAAAGACACATCCTACGTCCTTGAAATATTGGTTCAAAATAAAGAAATGGAATCCAAGCCCATTAAAATGGCTGAGAAATCCACTAGGGGTACATTCTGAGCTTCCAGTTGGTTATTCATGTCATGTATAGAAGTAAGTGTATATAAGGGAGCAATTCCAAAAATGAAAAGAGGTGTGTGGGGTGCCACTGTGTTTGATATATTACATGAGCAATATCATAGCAAATTGAAAAGATGGTATTTTAATATTTACTTTTAAATTAAGAAATTGAATAATGTATAGTCCTAAAATTTGAATTATAATCTACAGTTTGATACCAAACTTATTGATATAAATTCATGAAATAGTAGTTCAATGAAATTTTGAATGCGAGTCAACAAACGAGATGACATGGCCTTTCACCTGTGACCCATCTGGAAAGGGTTAAATATCTTAAAGAATGGATTACATAATATGAAAATCAATTATTATCAAGCAGGGTTCCTACACATTCTTGAAAGCAGGAAATATTCAGAAATTTCATTTAGCAATTTCCCAGTCTGTAACTATACAAGAAATATTAATTGGTAAAGTAATATTAAATCTAAGAATCTTCCATGTTCCATTCCTTTTCTTAACAAGGTTATTTATCTACTCATTTGTCAGCTAGACATTGTTTAGCTTAGGCTTCAACATTATGTACCATTGGTGGATTGCATGATGTATGTAATCAACCTGTGTATGGTTTGAACCAATCAGAAAGCCCTCAAAAGGGACCATGCCTTAATTGAATTTTGGTAAATGAAACACAACTAAAAACTGACCAAGTGAGATTTTGCAGACTCCTTGAAAACATATAAATGAAATATTAATGTTTTTCTGGTTTACACACAAACTGTTATATTTCTGTCGCATTCTTTTGCTTATTTGATTACAAGTTGCATGTTTTACAGTAAGGAAGAATATTTTTTAGAACAGTTGCAACATTTTGATCATTGGTGCAGTTATTCTGCTGCTTAATAATGTTATCGTTTCTATCCCAAACTATTATGGATTTATTCCTAATTTGAAAGTATTCTATAAATCACAATCTAATTTTTTGAGTTTATTAATCTTCTAGCCTTTCAGTGTTTTATTAAATAACTTTCCTTGTTAATAAGAAATTAAATTGAAGAATCACTTCAAAATATTATGGTTTCTAGTTGTTTATAAGTAGCTCATTCGTAGAAAACTGAAAATGATAAAGAGTTCCGTATAATAAAAGTACACGTGAGAAATGCCCGTGAAATTTTCCCTTATATATATATTACAAAAATCTGTTTCGTGTTAATGGAATTTAGAATGTTCATTAATTTTAGTTTCTAAAATTCAGTTATTTCTATTATGCGTATGAGATTTGAATTAATATCTGATCGTGGAGTGCTGGACATTGGTTTTACTTAGTTGTTTGATACTTGGTATTTAGAGAAATTCCAGGAATATCACAGCTGAACTAGCCCAGTTCCTTCCATCTATTCTCAAAAGTCGGCACAAACTGTGGTCTGAGGTAAAGACTCTTCCTTTACTTGTTTTTAAGTTTTACTTATTTAGTTCAGGAAATGTTTTTGGACAACCATTTCTGTTGTAAGGATCACAATTTAAAATATGTTTTGTGTCTGTATGTATTAAGTACCTATTTTTGTTTTAATATTTGTATTATTGGAAAGAACTATGGTTCTGGTTTACCTGGAAATGTTTTTTGCCTGGTTAAATATTTTTAGCAACTTCGTACATTTGAGAAGAAAATTAATAAAGAACTTTTGTAGTTTAATGGGTAATTTCACAGTTTTAACTCCATAAATTACATAGTGTATTGTTGTATTGTGTGAATACTATTTCCAATCTGGTGAAACACAAATATAATTAGTTATACTTATCATAAAATATAAGTATTAGGCCTAACATTTTTCGAAATGGACTTACCTTCTCTCACACAAAAGCTATCTCAATTGTTGTCTGCTAAAATAATTTGTAGTATTCATTGCACCAGTATTTACACTCCACCATCTGCCTTTGTAATGTGGGATTCTAGTTTTTGGTGGAGAGTAGTCACATGATATGTACATGTTCAGAAATGGCACGAAACTGGTGAGGTATAAAGATTGGTGTGCTGATTACTAAAAATAATTTTAGCAATGCTTAGAGGGCAGACAAAGATCGAAATAACTTTGTGTGAAAGGAGGTAAGTACCCATCAAAAGTACATTTTGAGTGTAAGAAAGTGTTATCTAATCCCTTAGGGATTTTCAAAAATTAAAAGGAGTTCTTCAAGCCAGGTGGGACACAATAAAAACACACTAGTGTTCAGACATCTATTTATATAAGTGTAATACTCATGTTTTATGACGAATATAATTAAATAGTGTCTTGTTGGATGTAAAAAGTTAGTTTTTGGAAATCTGGAAGTTTCAAATTTCTAATATCAGATTGAGGCTATCTCTATGGAACAGCTGAGTTATGCAAAGATGGGTGTTGGAGAGGGTGGTTGGCAGTTGTTTGCAGAGGATGGAGAAATGAAAATGTACAGGAGAGAATTAGAAGAAGGTGGAATGGTTCTGGATCCTCTCAAGGCAGTTCATGTGGTGCAGGTATGTAGAACAGTCAGAAAATGTATTTTATATACCATTTTAGTTCTTAATCTGGTTATACAGGTGTGTAGAATAGTCAGAAAATAATGTATTTTATATACCATTTTAGTTCTTAATCTGGTTATACAGGTGTGTGTAACAGTCAGAAAATGTATTTTATATACCATTTTAGTTCTTAATCTGGTTATACAGGTGTGTAGAATAGTCAGAAAATAATGTATTATATATACCATTTTAGTTCTTAATCTGGTTATACAGGTGTGTGTAACAGTCAGAAAATTTATTTTATATATATACCATGTTAGTTCTTAATCTGGTTATACAGGTGTGTAGAATAGTCAGAAAATGTATTTTATATATACCATTTTAGTTCTTAATCTGGTTATACAGGTGTGTAGAACAGTCAGAAAATAATGTATTATATATACCATGTTAGTTCTTAATCTGGTTATACAGGTGTGTAGAACAGTCAGAAAATAATGTATTTTATATACCATGTTAGTTCTTAATCTGGTTATACAGGTGTGTAGAACAGTCAGAAAATAATGTATTTTATATACCATGTTAGTTCTTAATCTGGTTATACAGGTGTGTAGAATAGTCAGAAAATAATGTATTTTATATATATATATATATATACCATGTTAGTTCTTAATCTGGTTATACAGGTGTGTAGAATAGTCAGAAAATAATGTATTATATATATATACTATGTTAGTTGACCTTAATCTGGTTATACAGGTGTGTAGAAAAGTCAGAAAATAGTGTATTAAATATACCATGTTAGTTCTTAATCTGGTTATACAGGTGTGTAGAAAAGTCAGAAAATAGTGTATTAAATATACCATGTTAGTTCTTAATCTGGTTATACAGGTGTGTAGAATAGACAGAAAATAATGTATTATATATACTATATTAGTTGACCTTAATCTGGTTATATGTGTAGAATAGACAGAAAATAATGTATTATATATACTATGTTAGTGGACCTTAATCTGGTTATATGTGTAGAATAGACAGAAAATAATGTATTATATATACTATATTAGTTGACCTTAATCTGGTTATATGTGTAGAATAGACAGAAAATAATCTATTATATATACTATGTTAGTGGACCTTAATCTGGATATATGTGTAGAATAGACAGAAAATAATGTATTATATATATACTATGTTAGTTGACCTTAATCTGGTTATACAGGTGTGTAGAATAGTCAGAAAATAATGTATTATATATACTATGTTAGTTGACCTTAATCTGTTATATGTGAAGAATAGTCAGAAAATAGTGTATTATGTGTACTATGTTAGTTGATTTTAATCTGGTTAATTAATGTTTTTGACTAGTGTGAGTAAGATAGATGTAGCATAGATTTGTTTATACAATGTAAATACATTCAACACATCAAAAGAATTATCACTGATTAACATGTTTAACTAAACATAAACTAATCGCTGAGCTCGTCTATGTTAATGGTACTTTCAGTCAGCTACCGAACTTGTTTGAACATAGCTTGTCTGTGTGAATAATACAATATTTTCAACCAGTCACTAAGCTTGTTTGTCTTAGTAGTATTTGTTCATGTAGGATACTAACCTGGGAAAATCAAAAATATCTCACTGGTGACTTTGTTTTATCAGCATTGAATAGTTTCTTCAGTATACAAAGATACATTCATAATTGATACAAAGTTTACATGGTGGTATTATCCTTTTTTTCTGTCATACTTGTAGTTATACTCATCTTCAGCTCTGCTATTAAACTTATAATTTCTACATTGAATTAATGTCACATGTTAAAACGTATAAAAAATGTAAATTAGTATTTATTCTTTAATAATTATTTAACTACAAATTCAAAGTGCTGCTTTTTTGTATAATACATTTGTTGTTGCAAGATTTGCTTCTTCAATTTACCAGCCATATAAACATATATATATAATAGTTGACTTTGGCATTAGATAAACTAAAACACAAATGTGTTCAAGCAGTCCAGTTACACCAAACAAAATTATGTTAGTCTTTTCTTATTTACTCATTTAAATAAAATTTCACCCATGTATTAGCTTATGCTGATAATACATTACTTAAATTTTCTGCAAAAGAACTTTGAGTATAAAGGCTTGAATTTTATCTTTGTATTTTGATTTTATTTTTGAAAATATATATTTTCACTGTCCTTTTGTTTTAGTTGGAACATATTAATCAATTATAGTTGCTTTGGTTTTCAGTATTTTTAATTTGTGAGCTTTAGATATTTTTATACCAACTAACTTTGACATATAATTTTAATACTTATCACCATTTATTAAGTATTAACCATGTGAGGCTAAATTGGTAACAAAGCTTGATTAGTAATAAAATTTACTATTTCTGAAGTTTCTAAAGCATGACTTGTTCTTACCTTACCATTTAACAATAAATGTCTATCAATATAAAACAGTATTTTGATTTTAACCTTTTACTTTAGAATGTTTTGGCTTCTTAGGTGAACCAAGATGGAGAAACAGCTACAAACTTTTTTATGTGATTGAAAGTTTTTGTTTTGTTCTAGGGTGTGACCGGACATGAAGTATGCCATTACTTCTTTTCTCCCGATGTTCGGTTTGACTGGGAGAGTAAGTAACCTTTCTAAATAAGTAATTTAAAATCATTAAGTATGCCATTACTTCTTTTCTCCCGATGTTCGGTTTGACTGGGAGAGTAAGTAACCTTTCTAAATAAGTAATTTAAAATCATTAAGTATGCCATTACTTCTTTTCTCCCAATGTTCGGTTCGACTGGGAGAGTAAGTAACCTTTCTAAATAAGTAACTTAAAATCATTAAGTATGCCATTACTTCTTTTCTCCCGATGTTCGGTTTGACTGGGAGAGTAAGTAACCTTTCTAAATAAGTAATTTAAAATCATTAGCCAGATAAATATCAACAACATAATAGTTTTCTTTACTTTTATAAGTTTAACATACAACATTCTTATAACATTGTATACCCGCAAAAGGCATTAGACTCAGTCATAGTGATCTAGAAAGGACTTAACATGAGTTAATGGATGATATATCTAAATATTCAATACTATTAGTTACCCCTATACTTAAAGGAAATAATATTGTCCCAATTGTTGATAAATAAATACTGAATTAGTTGTAAGAAGTATTTAAAAAACAGTTATGTTTATATTTTATCAAAGTAATCAATATCAATGAGGATGTGTTTTGTTATACGTTTCAGTTGCTTGTCTTTAAGGTTTTTGTGAACTAAGATATCAAATCATAAATTATTTTATTGTAAATTTTATAGTTGTTCAATCTTCATAATAATTTGCAGTAAACTTGGGCAAGTTAGCATAGTGTAAGTGGATTCCTGGATTAGTTTATTAACTGTTTTGTATATACAAGTTCATATACACATTTGCACATGTTAAGTATTTAAGCTATAACTTTTAATATAGTATGTGTGTCTTCACAAAATTTGGTAGGCTTTCAGTAAACATTACAAGTCTTTTGTACATAAAAAATCAGATTTTTTTAGTAAAGATTTGTTTGTGAATATATCAAGTCTGTTTCGTTACTAGTTCGAGTGCGAAGTGATTTTCATGTTGAATCTAAGTTTCAAAGGGACAGCAACT